TCTATTTATAATAAAGATATTTATATAGATAGAATATTCTATTTTATCACAAATATATACATTTATAATGTGTGCTTACTCATTCAAAAGTGTTTATTGAACACTGATGTGTATTTTTACAGTGGGCATACAAAAGTAAATATGATATACTGCTTAGAGTGTATAGCCTACTAGGAAAATCAGTAGAATTAGTATAAATAAATAATTTTAATATGATGGGAAGAATTATGAATTATATACAGATTGTTTCATAGGCACAAGTAAATTTCAGATATATTATCTTTTCTTTTACCAGAAAAATATTTTCCCAACTGAGAAATAGACATGTTCTACAAGTGTGAATAAAGAATATTTAAATTCACTATTGAGGAATGGTCTACAGAGAAGCTCCACATTTGCCATCTGGGAAATGCAAATTAAAAAAACAATGAAGTAGCACTACATACCTACTAGAACTGCCAAAGTTCAGGATACTGACTGACACTAAATGCTGGCAAGGTTGTTTGAGCAACAGGAACTCTCACTCATTGCAGAAAAATGAAAAATGGAAGAGAATTTCATGTTGTTTTTTTTTTTTTACAAAACTAAATTTACTCTGACTATACAATCCAGCCATTGTGCTTTTTGGTATTTGCCTAAAGGAATGGAAACTTATATCTATACAAAAACCTGTACACAGATCTTTATAACAGCTTCATTCATAATTGTCTAAACTTGAAAGCTACCGAAATATCCTTTAGTAGGTGAAAGGATAAATAATCTGGTACATACAGAAAATGGAATATTATTCAACACTAATAAGTAGGGAGCTATCAAACAAAGACATGGATGAAACTTAATATTAGTAAGTGAAAGAATCCAATCTGAAAAGACTACTTACTTTATGACTCCAACTGTCTGGCATTCTAGAAAAAGCAAAACTAAGGAGTCAGTAGAAAGATCAGTGACTACCAAGAGTTAGGAAGGAGGGACAGATAAAAAGGTACAATACAGAAGGTTTTTAAGGCAGCGACACTACTAATTATGAAACTATATTGCTGGATTCATGTCATAGCACATTTGTCTAAACCAATAGATTCTACAACGGTAAGAGCAAAGGCCAATGTAAATTATGGACTTTGGGTGATAATGATATATCAGTGTAAGTTCAACAATTGTCACAATTGTACCACTCTGGTTGGGAATATTGGCAGTGAGGGAGACTATGTATGTATGGGGGCAGGTAGTATATGGGAACTCTGTAGTTTTTGCTCAATTTTGCTGTGAACTTAAAACTTCTCCTTAAAAAGTTTTTAAAAATAAATTCCTTCTAGTTATTTTATTAAAAAATGAAGTTTATGATGTTTTTAAACAGGACAGAAATGTTTATAAACTGCTCAGTAGATGTAGACAACTGAAGGAGGGAACAAAAACTCCAATAAGCCATTATCCAACATTTATTAACATGAGCTCCTCAGAAGTGTGGAATTTTCAGGCAAAACCTTACCTCTAAACTGTAGAATTGAGAGTAACAATAGATTACTAGTAAAATTTTTTTGTCTTCATGTTTATGGACAAAAATCATTTTGCTGTATAATTTAAGCAAATGTCTTTATCCAAGCAACATATCTTCAAAAAATTATTATGCCTGAGAAAGAGTGAGGCTGTCAGTCAGAACTAATGACACTATCATTTAATTCACTTTTTTAATCTACCCTATGGAGGCTTGGAGTTAGCAATCTAATCATATATTAGGTGTCATGGCAAAATTCCCTGTGTCAAACTTTGATTTTCCTCTGTTCTGCTGATGCCTTTCTAAAGTCAAATTTCTAAATAGATAGGTGAGTTGAACCAAGGAGGTTGATTAGACCTAAATAAATTAGTCTTAAAGTTCTGCTTTCATGGGGCGTTACATATTAAGGCAAATGAGTGAGTTTACTTTTCACTTGATCTCACTGGAAATCCCCCATCCAGTGAAAATGCATTTCTACAGATGAAATCCTTATAGACCCAAATGGGAACTGAAGCTTTACTGGAACTTTCAGTCACAGCTGATTCCCTACTATGGAATATTGAACAGAGATACTGAGTGTGTCCTGAAAAACCTATTTTAGAATTGAATGCCATATGGGGAAGAAGGAGAAGAGAAACATTCTTAGAAGGGGGATGTAACATTCTGTGGCATGGTTTACAGTGGTGTGAAAGGAGCACCATATGTCATATGCTGACTGTAAACCATTCATTAGTTAATGTGTAACAAGAAAAAAGTCATCTCCCTCACTCAATAATATGGGAATGAAATTTGTGCAGTGCTATATTTATTAAGTGACCAAGTTAATTTTCATAAGTGAAAAGTAAGGTTGACCATTATACTAAAACTAAATCTTTAAATTATCACATATTCTTCATTGTGATCTTACTTTTCAGACTATTTTCAGAAATAAAAACATGAAAGCTCAATGATCCAATGGCTAGAATTTGATATTTATTTTTTTGTTTAATTGAGCTTTCTCAGGTTGGTGTTTTATGGGGTTCTTTTTTTTCCTTCCTCTCTCTGTTTCAATGAGCTGACGTCGGGCCTAAAGTCTGACTACAAACTGTCTGAAATTCTCATCAACGGGGCCATCTGCTCCAGCAGACACCACACGTGTTTGCATTTGATCAACTTCACTGAGTGTCTTTGTTTCCATTTTCACATATCAGATATGCATAAAGCTATATTCTCTTAGTTTTTGCTTACTGCTAATTTTTCTTGTGGGAAAAGACTGTAGAATGCCATAGAAGTATGAATAGACAATATATAAAATCTTACTATAATTAAATGTATCAGACTTCTAACTAATAGGTAATATTAATTTCTTATCATTAGTTAAATTTTAGTTTTATTTCAGCTTCTTTAAGTATATATGTATATATATAAATAAATATATATAATTTTATAATCAAAAGATTCAGGTCAAATCTAGTCAAATCTAAAATTTCTATGCCAATCTTAGCAGTGTTGATTTGACCCATTCATATTATTTCATTTGCATAGCATATTTTGGGGTTTTAAATTTTGTTAAAATTGAAAATCATGTTAGATATTCATTATTTTCTTTACTGTTTTTCAGTAAAGAAGTAATTTTCTGGTGTGCAAAAGAATTTTGGACTAATGAACGCTTTCTATGTTCTGTAGTGGAAAAGCTTATACTCTTGCTAGTTAATCACTTTTATGTTTGTCTACACCTGCTGTGTTTAGCATAGATTATTTTAGATCTTTGCTTCAAACCCTTTCAAGATTGTTTACATGGCCTTCTGTCTGGAATCTTCCTTTCTGTTTACCAAGTTGTATTTTTTTCCTACAAAAGTTAAAATTATGGCTTTATTGTCTGTGAGCTGAGAAAGTTTATATTTTCCTCCTTCCCCCCCGTCCCCCCCCCAAAAAAAAACAATTGATCAGAGAAGCACAAAATAATGTTCTAGCTTTTTTTGGCCTGATTGTCCAAATAGGCAATTTCTGTAATCTTGGACTTTTGGCTTTCTGTACTATTGATTGTTTCAAAATGACTGTTGGATAGGAGTTGCAACATAGGTCAAAGCAGAACTATTTCTTAGCCTGAATTTAGCAATCTTGTTTTGAGCTTGGCAGTGGGATTGAAAGACATCCCGGTCCTCCCTGAGAAGGTATGGCTTACAAATGGTTAGTTTGCTCTAGCAAAGGGAGATAACATTTTTATGAACTTGTAATAGAGCAAAATCAAATGTGTTAAATTGGAAATGATCCTACCTTCACTATACTGTATAATACTAAGCTGTATTACTGAAAAGAAACCAGCAGACGAAAATTGCTTATTTTTTTATATTTATAAATTCTTTTGTGCAACTGATTTACTGTTGTTTTTTTTTTCTGTTCACGCTCATTCAGTTTCAGTGTCTGTAACTTGGAATGAGGCTGATGAGCCACATTAAGCATTCTTATACTCAGGGACAGCAGAGATGTAACAGCTCACTTAATTGCACTCATTTAACCATTAAGCCTCATTTCCAAGGGCTCTGCCAGTTGTCAGGTGCACTGTATTACAGTCCCACATGGCATGTGACATCTTTGCTACTTGCTGCATCTGGTTAGAACCCTCTAATAAATGCTGGTATCTAAGCTAGTGAAAGAGTCCAGGTGTAGAACAATGAAACTCAAGTTAATGATGGTGAAGCATTAAAAAAAATAACTCTGGAGAACACTTCACACCTGATGAAACAGGATAACACTTTTTCATATTCAAATGAACACAGTTATATTCCATAGGTGCATTCATTAATTTATTTTAATATGTAAGTATTGGTCATTTTTCAAAAGATTAGTGTTTAAATAATTACTAGACATAAAAGATTCAATGAATTTCACAAATTTTCATTGTGAGTATTTTTGGTCAGACTTAGTGAGAGCTGGATTAATGAATCAATGGACTTAACTTACTAGCATTTTGCTAGAGTGCACAGATTTCTCAATTCATACTTCCTTCTTCCTCTCACCAATGAGAAGATACTTAAGTATATAAAAGTGATCACTAAAAAAATGTCACAGGGGTTGCTTTTCAACTTTTTCTCAGAGTAAAACAACTGCTACAGCTGTTGTAAATTAAACAAAATATAACAAAAATCAAATATAAATACATGTTTATTTACTGTTTTTCTTTATAACATTATGTGTATCAATTTCTATCATCCAATATAGTTAAAATTGTTAAAGTACTTAATGAAAAAATAAATATATAGAAAGACTTTGTTCTGCCTGATCTCAGAGGAGGGTTGGTTAAGGTCAGGGTGAGAAGAATCTAAATATGACTCTCCCTTATGTCTTCCAGGTTTCTTTGGGCCACTAATAGCCAGTCCCCTTTCACCCTACTCATTTCTGATATGTGGCCAGTGAAATTTAAGGCTGGCCTTTCATGAATTTTGTTTACTCAATTTGTTACAAACCAAACAAAATTCCTAAAATGAAAACAAGAGGATCAAGGGAAACAGAGACTACCCCAGCCACCATGGAGGTGGCTGAGGCAGAGAGTTGTCTGAATCCCAGCTGTAAGATTATGACCCTCAGACCTTCCATGGAGGAGTTCCAGGAGTTCAACAAATACTTCGCATACATGGAGTCTAAAGGAGCCCACTGTGCCGGTCTTGCAAAGGTGATTCCTCCTAAGGAATGGAAGCCAAGGCAGTGCTATGATGACACTGATAATTTGCTCATCCCAGCACCCATTCAGCAGATGGTCACAGGGCAGTCAGGACTGTCCACTCAATACCACATCCAGGAAAAAGCCATGACAGTGAAGGAGTTCAGGCACCTGGCCAACAGTGGCAAATACTGTACTCCAAGATACTTGGATTATGAAGATTTAGAGCGCAAGTACTGGAATAACTTAACTTTTGTGACACTCATCTATGGCGCAGACATTAATGGGAGCATATATGACGAGGGTGTGGATGAATGGAACATAGCTTGCCTAAATACGGTCTTGGATGTGGTTGAGGAAGAGTGCAGTATTTCTACTGAGGGTGTAAACACCCCATATCTCTATTTTGGCATGTGGAAAACCACTCTTGCCTGGCACATCGAGGATATGGACATCTACAGCATTAATTATCTCCACTTTGGAGAGCCCAAGTCTTGGTATGCAGTACCCCCGGAGCATGGGCAACAACTTGAAAGGCTAGCTCAAGGTTTTTTCCCAAGCAGTTCTCAAGGGTGTGATGTATTCCTTCGCCACAAGATGACACTGATATCTCCCTCAGTGTTGAAGAAGTATGGTATTCCCTTTGACAAGATCACTCAGGAGGCTGGAGAATTTATGATCATTTTCCCATATGGGTACCATTCTGGTTTTAATCACGGTTTCAACTGTGCAGAATCTACAAATTTTGCTATTATCAGATGAATTGACTATGGGAAGGTTGCTAAATTGAGAGAGAGAAAAGAGGGAGAGAAACAGCAATATGCAAAAGATACATGGATCTGTTGCCTCTCTCATGCCCCCAGCTGGAGACCTGGCCTGCAACCTAGGCACATCCTCTGACTGGGAATTGAACCCTGACCCTTTAGTTCGCAGACTGGCGCTCAGTCCTATGAGCCACACCAGCCAGGGCTGTGCTGATTATTGAAAAAGCATGAAGACCTGTTTCTTTGCTGGTAAATAAAATTTAAAAATTGTTAAAAAAAAAAAAGAAAAAAATACATATATATAGCAGGCTGAGTAAAAGCCTGTACAATTTTAGGTATTATATTTAAATCTTTTTCCATTTTGAATTTATTTTGATATATGGTGTAAAAAAAGTGGTCCAGTTTTATTTCTTGCATGTGTCTTTCCAGATTTCCCAGCTCCATTTATTGAAGGAACTGGTATTTCCCCATTGTATGTTCTTGCTTCTTCCTCCTCTTCTTCTTCTGTTTTTTGTTTGTTTGTTTGTTTGTTTTTTTGGTTTTTTTTGGTCATAGATCAATTCACCATTTAACTGTGGCTTTATTTCTGGCCTCTTATTCTGTTTGACTCATCTATGTGTCTGTTTTGTGCCAGTACCATAATGTTTTGATTACCAAAATATTTTAGTATAGTTTGAAATAAGGAAGCATGATACCTCTAGCTTTGTTCTTCTTTCTCAAGATTGCTTTGGCTATTTGGGTCTCTTATGGTATCATAAAAATTTTAGAATTGTTTGTTTTATTTCTTTGAAAATACCTTTGGAATTCTGATAGGGAATACATTAAACCTGCAGATTGCTTTGGTAGTTCGGAAATACAAAAGATGTTAATCTCTTCAATCCATGAGCACAGTATATCTTTCTATTTATTTGTGTCATCTCCCATTTCTTTCATCAGTCTTATTATTATTTTTTAAATATTTTATATATTTATTTTTTATCAAGAAGGAAAGGGAGGGAGAGAGAGAGAAACAGCAATGTGTGAGAGAAACATTGATCGGTTGCCTCTCACACTCCTCCAACCAGGAACTTGGCCTGCAACCCAGGCATGTACCCTGACCAGAAATTGCATGTTTGGGTTTGTGGGACAATGCCCAACCCACTGAGTCACATCACTGAAGGCCAATATCTTATTATTTTAGAGAACTGGTCTTTCACTATCTTGGTTAAAATAATTCTCAGGTATGTTATTGTTTTTGATGCAGTGTAAACGAAATTGTTTTTGTTGATTTCTCTTTTTGATAGTTTGTTACTAGTGTATAAAATGTAACCTATATATTAATTTTGTATCTCATAACTTTATTGATTTCACTTACTATTTATTTTTTAATTTATTTTTTTATTATTGTTCAAGTACAGTTGTCTCCATTTCCTCTCACCACTGCCTGTCCTACTCATCCCCACTTCCAACCTTCAAACCTATCCCCTTTGGTTTTGTTCATGTGTCTTTTATACATGTTCTTTGACAACCGTTCCCCTAATTTCCCTCATTATCCTTCTATTCCCTCTCCTCTGGTTATTGTCAGTTTGTTCTTTATTTCAGTGTCTCTGATTCTATTTTGCTTGTTTGTATTGTTGATTAGGTTCCACTTATAGGTGAGATCATATATTTGTCTTTTACCTTCTGGCTTATTTCACTTAATATAATGCTTTCTAGTTCTATCCATGCTGTCGTGAAAGGCAGTAGTTCCTTCTTTTGTTCTGTTGTGTAGTATTCCATTGTGTAAATGTACCATGGTTTTTTTTATCCACTTATTTACTGATGGGCACTTAGGTTGCTTCCAGCACTTGGTTATTGTAAATTGTGCTGCTATGAACACTAGGGTGCATAGGTTCTTTTGAATTGGTGTGTCAGGATTCTTAGGGTATAATCCCAGCAGTGGAATTGCCAGGTCAAAGGACAGTTCCATTTCTAGTTTTCTGAGGAAATTCCATGCTGTTTTCCATAGTGGCTACACCAGTCTGCATTCCCACCAACAGTGAACTAGGGTTCCCTTTTCTCCACAACCCCGCCAACACTTGTTTGTTGATTTGTTTATGATGGCCATTCTGACCTGTGTGAAGTGGTATCTCATTGTGCTTTTCATTTGCACCTCTCTGATGGCTAGTGATGCTGAGCATCCTTTCATGTCTCTGGGCCCTCTACATGTCCTCCTTGGAGAAGTGTCTGTTCAGGTCTTTGCTCATTTTTAATTGGATTGTTTGTCTTTCCGGAGTAGAGTCATATAAGTTCTTTATATATTTTGGAGATCAAACCCTTGTCCGAGGTATCCATTTGGTTCCCTTTTCATATCACTGATGTTTTCTTTAGCCGTGCAGAAGCTTTTTATTTTGATGAGGTCCCATTTGTTTATTCTTTCCTTTATGTCCCTTGCTCTAGGGGACATATAAATGAAAATGTTGCTATGTGGAATATCTCTAAGACTTTTATGGTGAATTCACTTTTTATTTCCAATAGTTTTTGGGGGGGGGTCTTCAAGGTTTTCTCTATATACTATCATGTCATTTACAAATAGTGACATTTTTACTTCTTTCCAGTTTGGATGCCTTTTATTTATTTACTTATGGTCTGGTTGCTGTGTGTAGGGCTTCCAAAAATCGTGTTGAATAAAAGGGATGAGAGTGGGTATCCTTTTCTCATTCCTGATTTTAGAGAAAAAGCTTTCAGCATTTCATATTTGATATGTTGTTAGTTGTGGTCTTATCATATGTAGTTTTAATTATGCTCAGGCATGTTCCTTCTATACTCACTTTTTTGAGACTTTTTATCATAAACAGGTATGAATTTTTTCAAAGTTTTTAATGCATCTACTGAGATGATCATATGATTGTAATTGTTGGTTATGCTAATGTATATTGCAGTGTTTGGTTGGTAGATATTGAGACATCCTTGCAATCCATGGAATAAATCTCACTTGATCATGGCATATATTCTTTTAGTGTATTATTGAATTTGATTTGCTAATATTTTATAAAAAATTTTTGCATCTATGTCGAAGACATTAACCTGTAATTTTCTTTAATTTTTTGTTTGTAGTGTCTTTGGTTTTGGTGTTTGATAATACTGGCCTAGACCTGGAACTATAGACCTCCTAGAAGAAAACATTGGAAGCAAATTGTTTGACCTCAATCTTAACAGTACATTTTTGGATATATCTCCCTGGGCAATGCAAACAAAAACAAAAATAAACAAATGACATAAAAAATAAACTATTAAAAATAAATAAACAAATTGGACTATATCAAAATGAATAGTTTTGCACAGCAAAGGAAACTTTCTACAAGACAAAAAGAAAAACTACTGAATTGGAGAAGATATTTGCAAATGATATATTCCATAAGGGATAATATCCAAAATATATTAAAAATCGTAAAACTCAATATAAAAATATCCAATTAAAAATGGGCAGGGAATCTGAAAAGACATTTTTCCAAAGATATAAAATTCCACAAACATGATAAGATGCTCAATATCACTAATCATCAAAAAAATGCAAATCGAATCACAATGAGATACCATCTCACACCTATCACACTATTATCAAAGTGTCAACAAACAGCAAGTGTCAGCAAGGATATGGAGAAAAATAGCACTTGTGCACTGTTGATAGAAATGTAAATGGATGCAGCACTATGGAAAACAGAATGGAGGGCTCTCAAAAATTAAAAGTAGAACTACCATAAAACCCAGCAATTCCACTTCTGAGTATTTATCCTAAGAAAGTGAACATACTAACTTGAAAAGATATACACACCCTTATATTCATAGCAGCATTATTCAAAATAGCCAAGATAGAGTAGCAACCTGGGTGTCAACCAATAGAATAATGGATAAAGAAGATGTGGTATACATAAAATCGAATACTACTCAGCAATAAAAAAAGAATAAAATCACCACTTGTGGCATGAATGAACCTAGAGGAAATTATGCTAAGTGAAATAAGTCAGATAGAAAAACAATATTATATGATATCACTTATATAAGAAATCTAAAAAAAATGAAACAAATGAACAAACACAAACAAACAAAATAGAAACAGACTTACAAAAAACAAACTAAGGTTGCCAGAGGACAGGGATTTGGGAAAGTAGGTGAAAAAAGTGAATGAGGTTAGAAGGTAAGATGTGCAAACTTCTTGTTATAAATAAATAAAACCTAGGGCATAGTGTACAACACTGGGAATAAATTAATTATATTATAACTCTGACCATTAAAAGATGGTTACTAGATTTATTATGGTTCTCCCATTGAAGTATATAAATATTGAATCACTATGTTGTACTCCTGAAACTAACATAATATTCTATTATCAACTATACCTAAAAATACTGTGCAATTTGTCTTTGTTTTCCTACTACATTTTTTAATAACTTGGGAATACAATCAGATCAGGTGGAAGTGAAAAATACTGAGATTTGTCTTGTTTTGAGGAGAGATTGAGAGTAAATGAAGGGTTGCTGGCATCCAGCTGATTTCCATCTTCATCAAGGAGAGAACAAAATGAAAAGGCTTAAATTTTGGTGGTAAGAATTAAAGCTAAACATAACACAATTGCAAAAGTAGTGAAATAAGCAGTAAACTGCAAGAACCAGCAACTGGACCAAATATTTTATTTTATTTTACTTTCTAAAAAGCATTCTCTCTCTCCCTTTCCTCCTTCCCTTTATTTTTTTTTTAATATTCAATATCAATAGTTCATCAGATACCAATCATATTAATATAACATTTAACTAATTTTATCATGAAGTTGATGGAAACTGGGTAATTTATTAATGATATAGAGAAACTACTCCTCTTTGATATGCCACCTTGTACCATGTGGTCAGAAAATTGAGTTTTAGTGAAAATTATTTTCAATTTTCATTAAAGGGCAATGATATTTTTAAAAATAATTAGAATCTACACAAATATAGTTCATGTTAATTATTATTAAAATCTATATTTAAATTTAACCCATTTAGCACAATCAAAAGTACAGGAGGTCTGGTTTCAGGGGCTATGTTACATATCTATGTTTTGCAATATGGTGATGGGTTTCTCACAAACTCATTGATGTAAGTTGGTATAACATTTGAGTATTTTTAAATGTTATAATGTTCTTAGGTTGGATTTAATTAAGCTATAAAGTAATCTATAACTAAGAATTCTCCTTGGTTTCTTTATTCCCACTTCTTCCCTCCCTTTCTTTCTGCTTTTCTTTCTAATTGAACAAATACTTGGTTTAGCCTGGGTTATTCATTGTAGTACGGTGACAATACAGAGATAATAAAAAACAGTTTAACATCCACATAGTTTTGTGGAAGGAAACAGACAAATATACTACTAGAATGTATGCAGTAATATTGTATATGTGTCATAAAGTTCAGTATAGAATGTCCTAGATTATAGAGAATGGGTAAGTAGTACAGACTAGACACATCCGTGAAGTAAAGAACACCATTTTTAACTTAAGTCTTTCATTCGGACCTAGATTGCAAGTATTGACTTAAGGGCAAGGAAACATCACCTGTGGTTATGTCAGAAGCTCCCATAGCAGGCCTCCCCTAGTACCAAGTATCTGGAGAAGTGATGGAAATCCAGTGGAAGAGACTAGAGAGGCAAAGGCTCAGACATGAGGTTGGTAGGTCTCTTAGGGAAGGTAGTCATGGGAACTCCCACTTTTCACTGTAAAAACCTTCAAGAGTAGTAATTTTTATTACAGCATAAAAATGAAAATACTTTCTCTTCAATGTCCCTTTTTCTTATATAAACAGTGCATGTTCATTATAAAAATAACATTTTAACAATCAGACTAAAGCAAAGGGTGGAATAAAGCCCAATTTTTCACAGCTCTGTAGTTCATCTTAATTTAAAAATAAGAAAACATTCCATTTTTGTCTTCCTGAGATTCTATAGATTTTTCTTAATGGTTTTGTATAGGGTGTCACTTGTCCTTGGGCCACTGCAAGACAGAAAGTTGTTTTATAGCCTTTCTTCGTCATCTTGTACCTGAGGAAAGCAAACAACTCTCATGAGGCTTTCTAAGAGATTTTGCTGCTAGCAATACTAGGCAAGAGAAACATTGAATGCAAAGGGAAAGTTTAAAATTGTCAAGAAATCCAGCTTTGCAAAAGTTGTCTCTACTCTTCTAATTTGCTTTATGACTTTGGGCATAGTATTTATTTAAGCATGTATTTTAAAAAATGATTTGATCAGATAACATAAAAAAGTACTTCCAAGCCCATAATTCTATTCACTGAAATATTAATAAGTTAAGTACCCAATTTCTGTTATTATTTTTTAAAAGCAACTTTCACTGAGGCCCTAGCCTGGTTTCTCTGAGAAGCTTTTATTACCAGGATTTAGTGCCCTTGCGCTCCTCACAGAGTGTGCTAAAACTTTGTGGTATTTGTCATTCCATTTGCCGACATGTTTATGTAGTTTCTCCAGCTGTCTGGATGAGGATCTGTATTGCCTTTTTGTGTGTCCAGACCTGAGATGTATTTTGAAAAAGATGCTCATCTGAAAAGAGAAGCTCATCTTTTTGTTTAATCATCTAGGAACATCTTCATTCCCAACGGCCATCAAATATCCTCTATGATACAAGATGTTTAGCTCTTCTTTGGCCCCGACACCTTCGTTCTCCCACTTGAAAAATTTCTTGGGAAAAAAATGAGACAAAGTTTGCAGAAGGGTTAATGATGTGCCATTAAATATGAAAAAGACCAAGTCAGGGAGAGAAAAAGGAAGAGAGGGAAAGCTCAACTTCTAGCATAGAGAAAAAGAGGGAGGTGTCTGTGGTCACAGTAAATCATTTATAAATGAAGTATAGACTGCGAAAATTAAGAACTGTCTGAAATTTGTAATCATACACCATTTAGAAGTCTCATTTTTGAGTTTTTATAATGAAAATAAAATCACAATGAATGAATAATATTTCATTGGTTTCATAAACTTCTTATTCTACTTTGAAATCATAAAAAGATAAAATTTATTTTACAGATGAGGAATTTGAGACCAACTCTCAGAGCCTTGCTCTCCCTTTTAAGGCACATACCTGTCTAGAATTACTCGTAGATGATGTAGGCCCACTGCCTTCCATTGCACAGAAGCTGTTTTCTATTTGCAGAATCAATAACTTCTGTGATGGAGATCACCACATGATTTCTTGACTAAAATATTTTTACCGTGGGCTTGCCTGAAATATCAACTTATATACTATTTTGTTATAAGTAGAAGGATGACGTACCTTTAGTAAAATAATGACAGACTTAAATCCCAATTCTACCAGTTACTGTCTCTGAGATGATAGAAAGGGTGCACTATGTGTCTGAGCTTCTGTTACCTCACTGTAAAATATAAATAATAAAATACATATCCTAAAAATATTATTTTGAAGATTACATGTAATGTAGGTAAGACCCTTAACATATTATAACATAAGCAATAAATATTGTATAGTTTTATTTATCTGTTTGTCAGTATGTTGCATTATTTCTTATTTACATGTAAAAATGTAAAACTGTATGACAATGTTAAAAAATAATTATCATACCTTTTTTTTATCCTGAATGTGTTTAAGAAATTACTTTTTTAAAAGGCTTTTATCTCATCTAAGTGACCTGAAATTATGGGAAACCTGAATTTTCACCCTTGATGTAGAGAATGATGCTAGAAGTAATAAAAGAAAGCATCTGCCATTAAATTTAGATCTGGTGACATTCACAGGTGAAGAAATACTGAGGGGCTGATTAAAGCATGTTGAGTTTATGAGAAAAAAATTACTAGAGTTGGAATGAAATAAAGGTTTAGACTTCCTCATATTCTATTTGACTTAAATCTCACCATGCAAAATGATCTCCAAGTGTCCTTAATAACTACAACAGTGAGTATGAAAACATCTTCCATGAGAATAAAGAACTAATGTAACAACTTTCATCTTTTCTGAAAGAGAAAAAAAGCAATGAGGGCAAAATTGATGAAAGAACCAAAGTGAACTGGGAATAGCCTTAAGAATACCATCAACATACATATGAAGTAAAAATTCTGGAAAACGAATCTTCTTGTATCTTAAAGTTATGAGTGTTGCTAACAGCAAAATCACTCA